GATTGATTCTAGTGAGATGACACCTTACGATAAGATAATGATGCAAAGCTCACCACTGCCAACTGTAAAGCTCACTAAGGACAACTACAAAGCTCACCAAATTGTAAGGCAAAGCTCACCATATTTTTTCAACACTTTGAATTTTTTTTGAAAAAATAAAATCAAAGAAATGGGTGCTGACTGGACTTTGACCGTTGACCGAGACCTTTGACCGCCACCTGCCGCTGCCAGTCGCCGGAATCCGCAGCCGCCGCCACCGGTCGCCAGAATCCTCTGCCTGCCACCACTGGTCTCTTGAATCTGCCGCCACCGTCGGTCGCCGGAATCCGCCGCCGGCCGCCGCTCTGCCGCCACTGACTGCCGGTCACCGGAATCCACCGCCGCCCTGCTACTAGTCGTCGGAATCCGCCACTGCCTTTCTGCCGGTCGCCGGCAACCGCCGCCGCTGACCGGTGGTTGCTGGTGTTGCTATTTTATTTTTTATTATTTTTAAATATTTAATATTAAAAAAAATGTGAGTTTTGGTGTTCAACGTGGTGAGCTTTACTTTATTTCTAGATGAGCTTTGCATTGTCCATTGGTGAGCTTTGTAGTGTAGTGTGGTGAGCTTTGCATCATCTCACCGAAGCATGTCATCTCACCATAATGTGTCATCTCACTGGAGTCAATCCTATATATATATATATATATATATATATATATATATATATATATATAAAGTATGGTGACACTACGTAGTAAAGGGGGAGAACCACAATAATAATAGTAACAACCACTCTCTTGATTCACGTGAAAAAAATTGAAGACCTGTCCTCAGGCATCACATGAATTTGCCCATTTAGGAGTAAATAATATAGCAACCTCATCTACCACTTAAAAAAAAGAAGGTAAGGTTGTAACCAATGAAAACTCCACACTATATAAACCCGTAACAATAAGAGTGTGGCAAAATTTCAATACACAAACAAGCCCATCAATAACCAACCCCAAATCTCAACCTTTATCAACCAGTGTGTCTGCAAACAGGAAGGAGGAGGAGTCACACCCAATAGAAGGCTTCATAATACTAATCAAATTCTTCAAGGTGAGTGGAAATAATACTTTACTTTTAAATTGTTTATGATAGTCCATTTACTTGAACATAATGTCTAATATAAACATTCTGAGTGGAAACTCACAGTTTTTTTAAAAGCCTCACCTTCATAAGAAGTTATTTTACCAAAAAAAAGAAGTATTCATACTACTGAAATTTGTCTGGGATTTAAGAGATTTTTTAAATTTTGAGATGGAACTTTCTAAAGCATGCTCAGAGTAAATTTTTAAAATTTCTGGAAATGAATGGTACTCTTCTCCTTAAAAAATAAGCAGATGAATTCCTCCCTACACTATGACTTTTGAATTTTAAGGTAGAACCAATTACATGTTTTAATTAACAAACTAAGCATGTTAATACTCTTAAACCAAACTCTGCCCCGAAAAAAAAATCAGAGATAAGGATTTCAATTAAAATGAGTTGAGGTATGAACAAATCAAATCTCTTATTAACAAAGAATAATAGTAATAATAATAATAATAATAATAATAATAATAATAATAATAATAATAATAATAAATAACAGGAATTGATCAGTTCCCCAGCCACTGTTTTTTTCGAAATTGGAAGAGGATAACAACAATAGGAGAAATGTGGGTACCATCCGGAAGGTTTGAGATTAAATTGATAAAAAAGAGGGATTTTGGTAATACCTTAATTACAAAGAAAGAACTCCGGCTGAGAGGGAAACCCGACGATTGAAGACGGCACGGGGACGATGACGACGATCGGCGAAGATGACAACTGGATGTTTTCCCTCTTTCTCGTTCTTCGTCGAAGTCGCCGCACGGAAAAAACAAGAACGGAAAGGAAGGAACGAAGAAGAGGATCTGATCCATAAATGATTGGTGCTCCGTATACATCCTAATCCCAATCTAAGTTTAAGTTTTAAAGTGGATTATCAATTTTGGACCATGCTACACTTACACCAAAAAATATACCTCATTTGTACACCACAGGTTTGCACAAATATTTCGATGGTTTACACCGACATAAATGTTGGTGCGTTAATAAAAATTCACACGGACACAAATGTTGGTGCGTTTAACAAAAATTAGTTTTACATCAATACAAAGTCTTGGTGCAAAATTGCGAGGTACAAATTGGGGTACAAAACTTGGGGTACACATAGCATAATCCATCAATTTTTCCTTATTCTTTTTTTAAGATTTTAAATGGGCCACAAGGTTGAAATTTGGGTCACTCATTTCAAGCAAATTTTCTTTTGGACTCGATATTTGTAAAAACTTTAGTCTAGATGATGATTTTATAACCTTCGAGTAGTAAACTGGATAGAATATACTATCTCGTTTTGGATGGAGAGTAATAATATATCTTCATATTCTATATACCGAGATGCTATTATTAGATGGACCCTATAGGTAAATGGCTTTATGACCATCGGTGGATAAATCTCAGCCATAGATTACTTTTATAGTGCTTCCCTAAGTGGACGCATAATAATAATAGGTCCAATGCCGGTCTCTATTATTGGAGACGAGTAGGAAGAATTTTATGTGATTGCTTCCTAACCCAACAGTAAGAGGAGTTACTTTTAAGTACCTCCCAAATGTTAGGGCTTAGCGCCACCACTAAGACTAACACGCCCTAACGCCGAGGTTTCTGAGGGGATAGGGTTAGGCTTTAGACTAACGGAACGTGCTGCCCATTTTATCCTCGCCGCCGTCCACCAGGCAGGCAGACCGGCGGCCGCCGCCCAGCCCGCCGCCGCCACTGCCAAAGCTTCGAGAATCCTTTCGCTGTTGGACGTCGTCGATAGGCGGGCAGGTAGGCTACAGCCTGCCAGCCCGCCGGCGTTCTCCATCGCTGTCAGAGCTCCTTCTCGTCGTCGTCGCCCTCCAGCTGGCGCTCACGCAGGCGATCGCCGGCCAGGTCGCCTGTCAGGCCGCAAAAATCCGCCGATGCTACCTTGTTCACAATTTCGTTTTGAACACTTTTTCCTTCTGCACCGACTTCTAAATCCGCACCGTTTGTGAGATAAAATTGTTTTTCTATTAAAAATTTACTCTTTTTACTCCATTCTTGGCCCAAATTTACATATTAATTCAAAGACATTCTTTATATGATCAATTTGTCAAAACATATATTCTTGATGAAAAATGATAAATAATTTATTGTTTTCATAACAAAAATGGTACAAGAATGAATTAAATATGAGTAAAAAGATGAGTACAAAACGGACTTATCAAAATCCTCAAACTTAAACGTTGCTTGCCCTCAAGCAACTCATCATCTACTAACACAAGAACGAAGAAGATTGTTTGATTAAATTCTACAATTTTATTTCCTTGTGATAATTAATTAATATCATTAGCATTAATTACTTCACACCTTTCTTTACGTTCTAACAATAAAATATCTCCTCCCTCATTTCAGGAATTTAACAAAGAACTTATTTAAAAATTTGCATGAGTAACTTTTTCTTCCAAATTCCCTTAAGGTCAGTAATTAATAACGATTTGTAGTCTTTTTGGTCTACTTTTCTCAATTGAGTAATTATGTTTTTGTTATGCCCGTGAGTTATCCCATAATGCCCTTTTTATTGCTTTATTTTTTATTTGATTTTTTTCTTTTTTTTTCTTTTCTTTTTTTAATAGAAGGGCAGAGCTCTGAAGGAGATAGAATACTCAATTCAACTCTTAAGCATGGGCAATTAGCATATTTGCTCGGGTTGTGGGTTTATCCCATCACTTTTGCATACTTGCTCCCTCGCCTTATGCAATTCACGAGAGAAGCAGAGCTCCTTCTCAGAGATAGGATTCCCAATTCGTCACTAAAGCGCAACCCTCACATTTAGCTTTGTTTATTTATATCATTTAAAGAGAAAGTGACCAAAAAACTTATAATCATTATGCAATTAACAACCTTAATTTTAGAAATGAGTAAATGATTATTTAATTCATTAGAGAATAAAAGAAAAATGTAAAGTAATTAAATACTAAATATATTAACTGATTAATGATCAAGAAAATAATTTCTAGAATATAATCATACCTGATATTCTACATCCTCACACTTAAGCTAGACCTCGCCCTCGAGGTCCAAATGCGGGATGCGAGTAGAAAAATCAAGGTAAGACAATCTTCCTCACACTTAGTGTGAAGCATATGATGAGAGGCAAGATATTTGTGATCATAAAAATTTAAAAATTTTTGGCCAAGATTAGAAATAAGAAGTTGTTTTCAATAGAAAATAATTCTATGCATTAACAATTTCGGGTAAGTAAAGCTAGCAGAGTTCACTGCAATGGCTTCTCTTCGTTTTCCCTGCAAAAGAAAAGAAAACAACGAAAAAAAGAAAAAAACGAAAAGTGCACAGTGTGTGAAAGTGTGAACAAGAACTATTGCTACATTGATAATAATAATTATTATTATTGTTAAATTTTTTTATTATGACGGGTTGCCTCCCGTTAAGCGCTAATTTATCGTCATTAGCTTGACGCCATTATTTCTAAACTTGGTAGAGTAAACACATCTAACGGAGCACTTTCCTCGAGAGTCTCCATCTTTTTCTGAATAATCGCCGTAAGGTGGCGCAGACCTAGATATTCGTGAAGCCAAGGAAAATTGAAAATCCTATAAAAAGAACTGATCACCCCCAAGCGTAAAAGATATTCTGATAAAGGTACACGCTTAGGGATGCTTGACTTCACGAAAAGTGGTTCAAAGAGACCCTCTTTTTGTGGAAAAATCTTCGGTAACTCGATGTCTCTTTGAATGAGTTTTTCTAAGGGACACTCTTCAAGATATACATTCTGGTCAAATTCAACCGAGCCCCCTAAATGATCAATGCCCTCAGAATTTTGTAAATATTCTGCCTTAAGTTCGGTTTGATGTTCTCCATTTCCCTCGTCGAGAGACGAACAAACAGGTCCTTGATCGTCTATTTTCTCTTCTACACCTAATGGAGAAACATTAAAGTTGTTGGGAAAAATATCATAGATTTTGATGATGATGTATTTAGAATGTAATAGGGACTTTAGGTCTCCCCCAATATTCAATGTAATTTTTCTTTTTAGAAATATTGTTAAAACCAAGTTCTTGAGTTTTCCATTAAGGTTGTGATATTTCTTTAAGCGTTTTGATGCCTGAAGACTTAATCAAATTCAGTGATATGGAAATTGGATATCTTAATCGGAAAAGCTAGAGACAAGTAAGGATTTCTCAAGCAGATGAAAATCCTCTGTTCCGGAAGACTACATAAGAACCGGATGTCTCGCTACAACCCGCTGAAAGCTAAGTCACCCAAATCGGAAGACTAGCGCGGATCTCTCTCTCACCCGGAAGTCTGAGAATGACTTCTCCGGATTTGTCAGCGAAGAACCGGATGCCTCAAGGAAGACCGGAATTCTCAGAAAACGGACAAGTGAGAAAGGACTTAGATAATTATCTAAGTCTTGAATGAAGAAATTCTACCCGTTAGTAAGGAAAAATCAATCTCTTGATTTTCAACGGCTAGATTGAAGATAATTATGCTGATTCAAGAACAAATGACTCGAAGACAAAGTCTGAATCTCCAAAAATTGAAGAACCTGTCCAGAATTCCTAAACAAGCACTAGAAGACAAAAAGAGTAAAGTGCTACAGTCTTGAATTCTTGAACAACGGCTAAAAGACAGATTCTGTGGAAGAAGGAATC